AAGCTACATATAATTTTCTCACAATGATTTCCAAATTTGTTTAATGTTACGGCTATATTACACATAACGTAATATACGAATGCAACATACATTGATCCCATAACAGAAACAACACTCAATGGCGTAAATAAACAGTACATTCGAATAGTCAATCATTACATCAATTCTTACAATAAGTGATGTCAATACAAATTTGAAACATCGTGCACTATCCACAACGAGAATATGGTAAGGTAAATATAAACTCAAATCATCCAATACCTTAGTATCAATTAACATTTAGGCTACATATAATTTTCTCACAATAATTTACAAAATTGTTTGATGTTACGCTATATATTACACACATAACGTAATATGTGAATGCAACATATATTGCTCCCATAACAGAAACAACACTCAATGACGTAAATAAACAGTACATTCGAATAGTCAATCATTACATCAATTTTTACAATAAGTGATATCAATACAAATTCGAAACATCGTGCAAAGTCCAAACATTGAAGCCAACTTTCCGAATAAATGCTATTGAATTAACTACCCAAACATTGAATCGAACATTAAAACTAAACGTTCCGAATTTCCTACTTCTTAGCGATAAATGATGTCATGTCATACTCCAAACATCAATTAGACACTGAATCATTCTTCCCAAACATAGACTAATCCGTATGACATATATATACCAATTTTGCGTATATTTCTAATACTAATCAATTATTTCTGTGCAATATATAAATATAATGTAATTCGACAAATAGTATAAAACCAGCAATCTTTTGCCAAAAAATTCTACCAAAGACACAAGAAATAACTCCAAAAATTACACTAAAGCACAAAAATAACCCAAACTTCCAATATAACACAACAAAAAATAACCTCAAACCCAAACCACCATCTTCCAACTTCCTTTCGCTAAGAAAAAAAATGATTACATCCTCAACGTGCATAATGAGCGAATAAATAAAAAAAAAGGCCGTGCAATTTCCAAATTGGACAATGTTGGCAACTTTCAAATCTTTCAGTTTTGCCAATTTTTACCAGATAATAATTCAACCACGGACAATTCAGATTTCGAAGACAACGGCGAATCTATCCAAGAAATCAAACCAAAAAACGTATATCAGATAACTGGTAAATTCGCACCTATAAAGGACAACATTATTGACGTTGTCATTACCAGCAGTAAACGATTAAACATTAACGCTGACGGTATTTCAATTGGACAACCGCTTGTCCATTTACTCGGCAAAGTAATACATCAAACCACTATCTCTGAAACTGGATATGCTCTTACCCTCCAGGTAAAACCATACCTTAGTGCA